ACGAAGGTTGTAATTGTAATTATGAGTTCCCAAATTTTTAGAAGCAGTTTAAGTATAAAATGTTATGAGTTTTGATGTGAAAGTATAAGGAATATTTAATTTTTGTGGTTGATATATATAATAAGTGAAATAAAGGGGAATAAAGTATAAATATCTTAACTTTTATGATTCTTTGGTCTTCACCCACGTGAAGACTTTGAAAAAAATAAAGACAAAACAAGGTAAAGAAAAAGAAAGAGAGAGAAAGAATAAAGAAATGTATGAAGTAAATGAATGACATTTAACATTGAATACATTGTAGAAAAATGTGTGCGTGTGTACTTTAAGGTGTAGTAAAATGTGTGTGTTTAAAACACAAACCAGTGTGTGTGTGTTCTGGTTTGTTAAAAATCGTGAGTGAGGGAGAAAAAAAGAGAGGGAAGAAAAATATGTATGTGTTTGTGTGTGTTAAGCCGAGAGCAAAGGAGGGAGTGAGGGAGAGAGAAAATAAATCTTAGTGGGTGTTTTTAGTTCAAACCGAGAGGAAAAAGAATGAAACGGAAATCAGAGTTATCGAATGTAAATAATAATTCTGGGGTTCGAGGTGGTATGCAATATGCTCTCCTTAAATCTCTTTGTAAAAAGTATTTTTTTGATTATTCTCTGATTTGTATTCCAACTTGTGCTATCGTTATTTTAGAATTTCGATTGAATATCGTTGAATATTTTGATCTCATTGATCATATTCTTGATCTCATTGATCGTGTTTTGTGGATATTGAAACAAGATCGTGGCAGTCAATAGCCTATGCATCGCCAGCCAAGAGACACGTGAGATTGGGTTGAGGTGGAATGATTGGTGAGGTGTTAGATCTGTGTTAAGATCCTGCATAATGTGTAATATGCAAATATGATATTTGTATATGTTGATTGAGATACTTTGTGATACTCAATTATTTGGTATTCAATGTCCTTGAGCATATTTTTCCTCCTCATATTGTATACTTCTCCGCCTTATTTAATATTTTCAAGTTGATTTTAGAGAAAATATTGGAACGAGAAAATCAGAGTATTAAAGACGAGGAGATGTCGATGTAACTAATGCTTTAATCATATTGAGAGATTTATTTATATTGACAGATTTATTTGCATTGGAAGATGATTTTGATAAATAAAATTTTATTGGAATAATTAGCGCTCTATTATTTTTATTTGAATTTTTTTTATATCAATTAACGTCTTCAAAAAAAAGAGAAAAATTGGGGCGTTACAAAATGGTAACAGAGCTTAGGCTTCATAATTTATTGTGTTTTCGTTGTGTTTTATTTAGTGGTGCAAGTTGTGAATACTTGGAATGTGGAATTGACGTGGTATTCGGTTTTGTGAACCGAGAGAAAGTTAGTGTAATTACACCTTTATTGAAAAAAAATCAATAACACATCTTTCTTTTGAACAATAAACACTTTATATTCTTTTTCTTTTTCATGTTACATTTTGCACCCCAAAAAATTTTGGGATTCTTGGTGAATTAAGGAATTTTGGGGATGAAATTCTTTTAAGGAGGGTAGATTGTGAGATCCCAAATTTTTAGAAGTAGTTTAAATATAAAATATTATGAGTTTTGATGTGAAAGTATAAGGAATATTTAAGTTTCGTGGTTGATATATATAATAAGTGAAATAAAGGGGAGAAAAATATAAATATCTTAACTTTTATGATTCTTTGGTCTTCACTCACACGAAGACTTTGAAAAAAAAAAGACAAGACAAGATAAAGAAAAAGAAAGAGAGAGAAAGAATAAAAAAATGTATGGAGTAAATGAGTGGTTGTTAACATTGAATACATTGTAGAAAAATGTGTGTGTGTGTTTAAAACACAACCAGTGTGTGTGTGTTTTGGTTTGTTGAAACCGTGAGTGAGGGAGAATAAAAGAGAGGGAAGAAAAATATATATGTGTTTGTGTGTGTTAAGCTTAGAGCAAGGGAGGAAGAGAGGGAGAGAAAAAATAATCTTGGTGGGTGTTTTTAGTTGAAACCGAGAGGAAGAAGAATGAAATAGAAATCAGAGTTATCGAATTCAAATAATGATTCTGAGGTACGAGGGTGGTATGCAATATACTCTCCTTAAATCTCTTTGTAAAAAGTATTTCTTTGATTATCCTCTGATTTGTATTCCAACTTGTGCTATCGTTATTTTAAAATTTTGATTGAATATCGTTGAATATTTTGATCTCATTGATCGTATTATTGATCTCATTGATCATGTTCTGCGGATATTGAGACAAGATCGTGGTAGCCAATAACCGATGCATCACCAGCCAAGAGACCTGTGAGATCGGATTGAGATGGGATGATTGGTGAGGTGTCAGATCTGTATTAAGATCCTGCATAATGTGTAATATGCAAATATGATATTTGTATCTGTTGATTGAGATACTTTTTGATACTCAATTATTTGGTATGCAATATCCTTGAACATATTTTTTTCTCATCATATAATATACTTCCCCGCTTCATTTAATATTTTCAGGTTGATTTTAGAGAAAAGATCAGAACGAGATAATCAGAATATTAAAGACGAGGAGATGTCGATGTAACTGATGCTTTAATCATATTGAGAGATTTATTTATATTGACAGATTTATTTGCATTGGGAGATGATTTTGATAAATAAAATTTTATTGGGATAATTAGCACTCTATTATTTTTATTTGATTTTTTTATATTAAGTAACGTCTCCGAAAAGAATAAAAAAATCAGGGCGTTACAGTAATCCTTATTTTCAAGAGACACTTAAATCGTTAATTATAAATTAAATATATAATGTATCATTATTAATAAATATTTGTTAATATACACATAAATATGACGTGATCAAGTTACAAGATATTTGTAATAAATGTTTGAAGGGATTTAATGTCGACCTATTAAAAGAAATGTAACGAACTTTCCAAAGAGGAAAATTTATAGGAGATAAAAAATTAACTTAATTTATAAATTCAATGATGTGCTAGTAATATAGTCTAATAATGTTATTGTAAGACTATAACTCTTAAATTTTTTTATTGCGACACATCTGTATGTCAACAAATTAAGTCAATTTTTTCTCGCTTCAAGAACTAAATAGCCTCGAGTAATAACATTTAAATACAAGGGGGCTTACCGAAAACAAAAGATAAGATAAGGGTATAAAGATGATATAATCAAATGGTAGGGGTCTTAGTGTACTTATGTCACTCCTATTTTATCCCTTCCAACTAGTGGATAACCTTTTTAACCCACTATCCAAACAACAACTGGTTGTCAATTGCCATGTCAAACGTTGTCTTCGAGTGGTTGTCAATTGTCAAGTCACAATCATTTCTCACTCTCTATAATGAACGAAAACTCTGTTTTTCTATATGTGAATTTCATAACCTGAGCTCTATTGTAATTTGATTCTTGAAAATGATGAACACAGACGAAGAAGCTATCAAATCTCTTCCAGATTCTGCCACAGTTTCTTTTCTGAATTGTATCGATCTCTTTAGTCCTGATATTCAACACTCTGTTTCTCTACTCAAACAGGTAGTCTCTCTCTCTCTCTCTCTCTCTCTTTATATATATATATATATATATATAGCGAATCATGTATATGTACGAAAATATTTGCTCTTAGCAAGCCATGGATTATAAGCATGATTCAATTTGGTTATTTCTTGTTGAATTCATTAAACCTGTCAAAAAATAGTCATGATCACTTGATTAAATGTTGATTTAATATTTGCTTTTGATTCTATAACTTCACGGAGGATTTTTATGAAGCACTAAGCGATATTTAGTCTTTTTGCTCCATTTGCAATTCTTGTCCGTTGCATTTTGTATGTCAGATAACACAACTAAGGAAATCAGGAACATATACATAAAATGATTGGATGAAAGTGAAGATCAACTAGCTTGAATGATGCCGAAGGATGTATCATTAATCTAGATTTCAATACCTTTTTTTTCCCTCTTTTTTTCCTTTGGAACCATTCTTTTTTATGTCAATATGTAGCAATTTGTCTATTTTGTCATTTATTTCCAATATTTTTGGTCCAATTTTACAGAAGCACCTTGTGCACAAGCACAAAGCTCTAGCCCAAAGCGTATTCCATCAAAAAAATCAACTCAGTAATTGAATTGAATCTACACAACCTTGGCTGTAAGCAACATGTGAATTGCCACCTAGGAGGGATGCATATTCTAACTTTCCGCATATATACATGATTGACCATCCAAGCTGACGACCTTGTGCTTGTTAGTTCTGGGTAACAACTGAATTGGCCCATTGTGCTGAATTTTTTTATTTGCTAGAAACTATCAATAATTATAGAAAGTTTCAGTCCTCAACCCACATGATGGAGTTGGAACAATTGACAATTTTGAGTTGTATTTTGGTAATGGGACAACAGCTTCTTGGAAGTGCCTTTCTAAAGGGGTGGACTTGTATCTTCAACTGTTATGAGCGAGTAATTGATTTTCTGTGGGACAACTAAGATACCTGAATACTGAAAATATCACTTTTGTTATTCTTGGGAAAGCAGGAGAACCAGACCCCCACTGTAAAAGTTGTCGCCTTGCTGAGAAGGGTTACAATATGCACATGTAATTATTAATCCCCGTATAATTATTAATCTCCATAAATTTCAACAATATTGTGTATAAGTGATTGCATAACTACACTTCATTTTCTTGGATTTCTTCATCTCTATCTAACATACTCGACAATTTTCATGCCCCATTTGTGTCCTTTGTCCTCCTTAGTGGCACAGTGCCGCCTAGACCCTAATTTATGTGCTTCGTCTCCTCCCCATATATTGGTTACATCTCATCTAAATTGATATTATTTTTTGGGCTTAAGTATATTGGTTCATCACTTGTGCATTAGGCTTGCTTGGATTCTGGTTTCTTCTATGTTATCAATCATGGAATCAGTGAGGAATTCATGGATGAGGTTTTTTCCCAAAGCAAAAGGTTCTTTGATCTACCCATAAAGGAAAAAATGAAGGTTCTAAGGAACAAGAAGCATCGAGGATATACCCCTGTTCGAGATCAACATTTGGATCTTATCAATCAAGTACACGGTTTGTTCGCTGCCATTCTTTTTTGTATAATTGAATGAAGCAACAATATAGCAATATGAATAACGTAATGTAATAGTCTATGCAATGTTGTATTTGATACAAGTTTTAGTGAAGACCTTTGAATATTTTCTTAAATAAGGGGAATGCTAGAAAGACCTATGCAAAAAGAATTCCTTCAGATGTTACCCACACATCATGCACACAATAGTAATGATATCCTGGTTGACACAAGTCTTCCTCACTAAAAAGGCCTTGGGTCAAATATCGGTCATACCACTATTGTCCCCTTCACAATAGAATTTGAACGCCAATCATAATAGAAAACCTCTATTGCCCAATCAGTGACGAAAGTTACCAAGAGTAGTACTCCCGTGAAATATCTCAGTAACTATCGGTAGATCAAGTGGAAGGCCAAAAGAGTAGGTATGGCCGTGAATGATGGTCAAGTGTTACAGATAAATTAGAATGATCTGGTTGACTTGGTCTTCGACATACTGTAATTTGCTTGCATGTAAGGACACATACTTTTGCATGTCTACATAATACTGAAGGATAAATTTATGTCCACACCAATCCCAACGCCCTATATCATAGGACCAACATTTGTTAATGGCCTCTTTTATGTGTTAGTATATGTGTCTATGCAATATGTGTGTATATATTGTTTATCTTCCGACTGTATTATTGGCATCATACTATAAAACACTGTCCAATGATTTGGCTGCATTTGTCTTGCTCCTCTTTTTCTTTTAGTTGGTTGCTTATATGTCATTTGTGGTTTGTCAACATTATATGCGATACTTAGGAAAAAAAAGTGATTTTCCTGTTTTAAGGATTCAGGAGATTACAAGGAGGGATATTATATTGGTGTTGAAGTACCTGATAATGATTCTGACGCAGAGAAGCCATTTTACGGGCCAAATGTTTGGCCCTCGATAGGTAATTTTCAGAAACAATTTGTTTCACTTGTGAAGGAACAATTTTTTCTATGTTAAATAGTCTATAAGAATTTCATTGGTCGTGGCACATTTTAATCTCTCTCTCTCTCTCTTCCGTGTGTGCGCACATGCACGCTTATGCTCATGTATCCTGTCTCTGTTTTGCTTGAGGTTTTTGTAAAATCTTTTGATTCCATGAACTATTTGTATGTCTGCAAGATATTTTGCCTGGATGGAGGCAAACTATGGAGAAATACCATCGAGAAGCACTGTAAGTTTGTCAGGCCTCTATTTTATCAGATAGAACTCTAGGTTCTATATGATAGACACACGTATTCCTCCATGCACTACCAAAAATACATGGGGAATAACTCCTGTTCAAATAGCTCTTATTGATAATTAACTCAAGCTCTTATAAATTAGTTATTTTACTATTAGTTATTAATTAATCTTAACTCAAGTAGAATATTATTTTATTAGAATTAGTTTATTATTTGAATTAGTTGTATTGTCAAAAAAGATATTTTGGTCTATGTTGACTGAACCTTACTTTCAAAAAAAAATTGTTGAAAAAAAAATCAAATATGTGAAAAAATAGGAGACAAAATAAATGAAAGATAGAGAGAAGGGAACATGATAATTCAGTTATTTGCATTAGTTATCCTCTCTAGAAAAAAAAATTCCAACTCCCCTGCATTTCATTTAACCCATGTAGATTGATTAAAATTGACCTTTTAAACTGTTGGGATAAAATCCGAATGAAATTTTTGATATATTTCTTACTTTCTAAATGTGGGATATATGACCCCCACTTTAACTATCTAGACATGGTTTGAATGTTTGAACAGTTACATTTCATTGATGTTTGTTTAATGAAGACATCAATATGTTATTGGCATCTTAAAGTATTGCATCAACTAGGAAGTGTTGTGAGAAGATCACATTATGAGGAAAGTAGAAGATCATGATAATCGAGTATTCTTTAGGGGTTCTCATAGGATGCATTCTTCTGTGATGTATATTGTCTAAAGGCATTTGATTCCTTTATATATGCATATGTTTGTGTGTGTAGTTACATAGATACATATATCATTTGCTGTAATTTTGTAGAATTTACCAAATATACGAACTTTCGATTTTTTACAGTTAGCATCAAATATGCTACACTGCTTTCAGGAACCCTTCTTTGATAATGGGATCTATTCTTTTTATTAGGTAACTAAAGCCCACCGCTAATATTCTTTATTCTTTGATAACAATTGTTTATGTGTCCCAAAATTTATCTAACTCGTCCCAGAAAATGGATCTAACTGCACTTCACTCTCAAAATTCTACAATGTGTTATGCTTCACTATTCTTTGTGGATGCTCGTATGATGCATTTTTCTAAGATTTCTATTTTTTAGACAACTTTGAATCTTGGGAAAACAAAAGAGATTTCCATATGAGGTTAAAGATCGAATAATGTTCGCTGCCGAGTTCATGTTATATACGAAACCTCTTGTAGTTCTTGCCTTGTTCTGATGAGACCATGGTGTCTTTTCCTACTGTAAGACTTGTTTATAAATTATAGAGCCGGACTTTTCAGTCATCCTTATGTGTTGTTCCCCTAGACTTCTGTTTCAAATATGATGACTTGATTTTTGGCCATATCTTAGTATCTTATGGATACATTTTCGTGTAATGAGTAGCCTTGATTTGGTTTTGAATGTAAAAGGCAACTTGGAGTCTTGGACTTTGTTCTTTTGTCTAATCAAATTATTTTTTCTCATCTCTCTATGTATGCATTTAGTGAGGTGGCAAAAGCAATTGCAAGACTCATAGCCCTTGCACTTGACCTTGGGGGCAACTTTTTTGATCAGCAAGAAATGCTTGGCAAGCCTATTGCCACGTTGCGCCTGCTACATTATGAAGGTTAAAATTGAAACAAAAGCTACCAAACTCCATTGTGGAGCATGCAGAATTTTTTTTGTTGATTGATGTAACTTGTGCAATGTTGATTCATTGATTTTTCATTAGGTCTAATATCTGATCCCACAAAGGGATTATATGGAGCCGGTGCCCATTCTGATTTTGGTTTGATTACCCTCTTGGCCACGGATGATGTTGTTGGACTCCAAGTAAGGATGAAGCTGGAATTACACTATAAGTCCATTAAATTCATTCTAATTTTTGATAAGGGATTGTAACTTTTCAATTTGTTTCAGATATGCAAGCATAAGGATGCAAAACCTCAGATCTGGGAATATGTGGCACCATTGAAAGGGTGGGTTAGTATAGCATTGAGATTGTTAATCGTGGAAAATAAGATGAGTTACACACAATCTATTGAAGTTGTGTTTGCCCGTCAGTATATAATTCATGCATCTTGCTGGTAATTTATTATGACCCAGTTATCCCACATCGGGAAAATACTGGGGTAAATATGGATTTGTTTTACATTGACTGGCTCACTACCTATGCGATTGAGCTTTTGGGTGGTCGAGTTGGCTCAAACACGTATGGTGGATCCCATCTTGCCAACAAGTGGTATCAAAAGCATGTTGGGCTCTTCCGTTGTGGACTCTCCCTCTTCCCGACAAAGGGATATCAAGGGTTTCCATATTGAGCCAACTTCCAAAGCTTAAACTTAACTTACTGGTATTGAGTTCATCCTATATATATAAGAATATCCTCATGTCGTATTGACCCAAGCTGGACTTTACTCCAATATTATGCATGCGGGACATATGTCGGAATGACTTTATCCTTGTGTTGTCCTGAACAATAGCTTACCATCATTGTTGTTGTTGATAAATTTCCTCTTTAGTTTATTGTAATCTTACTTCCTTAGTGATTGACATTCAACTTCCAGAGCATTTATTGTAAATCTCGGTGATATGCTGGAGCGCTGGAGCAACTCTATGTTTAGGTAAGGTGCATTTTCATTAGCAGTTGTTATCTTGCTGGCATACAGTACCATAGGCGAGTTGGAGATGTTTGATACATTTTAGGAGCTTCGAAATAAGTTCCTTCCAGAATTTTCATCAATTCTTGCCTAAATTTGAATATTAGATAACTAGTTCCCACTTTTAGTTTAAGTTTCAAAGTTTGAATATAATGTGTAATTGTCTACCTTTTGACTTGGACATGATTCATGGTGAAACTGGCACAAGTTATCAATCTTTTGAGGAAATGTCATATTCAACAATTGCGTATTGTTGAATTGCTAAACTACCGTTATTGCGGGTTTTGTTCTCACGGTGATTTGCATGTTCTTAGAGTTATTTAATTATAGCTTCTGAACTGGAGGACATACCAATTTCATGGAAGTGTGACCTTCTTTTAATTCTATCCAGGTCGACACTGCATCGAGTTTTGGGGAATGGTCAAGAGAGATATTCTGTAAGGCCCTTCTAAGCTTTTAAATGTGTTTCTAACATACTATAATGATTGTTATTAGATGTTCACTCCCTTTTAAGCTATAAATTATTACTTTATTATACATGTATGACAGATTGATTACACTTTGGTCTCTAGCACTCTGCATTAATATTTAGGCCCCATTTGCAACCCCATTTCTAATTGTGTTGTTCAACCTTGAAACAAGTTGGTGGTGTAACCCCTTCCAAACTATTACCTTGTTAGATCTCTCTACTTATAGCTAGAGTGTTGTAACTGGGCTACCCCGGTAGGGTAAAGCTTTCCAGACTAATCTTGTGGGATTATTTACCCATAGTCGATTCATTTTGAGTTAAATGTTTTAACAGTATTGATTAGGTTATCACTTTATTCATTCTATCATCAAACTATAAGTGGAAGCAGAACCGAGTTACAAGTGCTACAATGTTTAAGTGGTTCCTCAGCATGTTCTAGGTTTGAATTCACTAGGAAGCATTCACACCAATTAAATGAGTGGACACATATGCACACCAAATGTGTGTGAGTTATACAAAGTGTTTCAGCTAATTTTTTGGATAGTTTATTATTTATATCTATTTAACATTACTTCTACTGTCCAAAAATTACAAGGTTACTAAAAATTATAGTTATCTCAAGGTTGTTCGAGGTTCTGCTATTGAAAATTATAGTTAGGTTGGGGAAAGCAATTATTTGAGTTTGCAAGTGTTAATGACATAAATTCAATTTTGAAACAGTAGAATCCTTTTATAAAATGAGGTTTTTGCATGTTGGAATTCAAATTGAAAACATCTTTATAATGTTAGGCAACTTTTTTAGCTTTCAAGTGGGAGCACATAAGCTCAACATTTACGGAGAATTGAAGATTATAAATGTTCGTGTTAAGTTTATTGTTTTCCCAAAGCATATCCATCTTTTGGCTGCCAAAGCTCAACTGAAAATTATTCAAATTACCATGCCAATTAGGCATGTGCTCACTTCTCAGGCATGAAAAGAAGTTTCTCATGGCCACGGCTGGTTTATGGATAGCTCTAACTTCATGTCTTCCAAGTTCCCACTTATTTTTCACTATGAGCATGTGGTTCGAAATAATTTGATTTTGCTTAGTTAGATATGAACAAGGATTACCCTGACACCAGTGAGATAAGTTGTATCGTTTTATTATTATTGATCTTTTGCAATTTCCCTATGCTGACTTTAGTTGGTCATTTCTCATTATACACATTGCATTACTCATTTTGGCCTATTCCTCTGAGGATGGGTCTTGGGGTAGCAATAAAAATTTTCCATTGTGACTGAGGCATCAAGATTGAAGTCATGGAGACAGCCTTGAGTACATCTACCCCTCCCAAACCCGTAATAGCAAAAGTCTCGTGTACATGCTGTCTTATTTTGGCTTATTCCATTGATTCTACGTCTTTTTTCCATGCCACTTCTTATTATGTCTTGCTTCTAGATATTTCTCATTCTAGATATCTGTATATGAACTAGAAAAGATGGTAAGTGTTTTGTATATTCTCTCTGGGTGCAGATTGCATACTTTGTGGAGCCTAATCACGATTGCCTTGTTGAATGCTTGCCAACGTGCCAGTCACTGGAGAACCCTCCCAAGTAAGTATAGAGCAACAATACTACGAACACAATCTTACCACTTAGAGGTTTAACTGAACCTATGGTTGATCCAATTAGGGATCTTAGGGCACATAAAGTGGTTCATCAAGATTATCACCTATTGTGATTGATGAGTATAGCAATCGTGCAAGAGTCCTTAAGGCTCGACCAATAGCCCGTGGACCATGGGATGGCCCATAAGCCTAACAGGCCATATGATTGGGCCATAAGTCGTGGGTATTGGCTCGCTAGACTTGACAGGTTAGGCCAATTAGGGAATGAATAACAGACCTATTAGCCCGATGGATTTCAGAACAAATGCCAAATTTGAAAAATAGAATCAGAAAAGTTGAAATAAAATGTCGGGTTGAATGTGACTGTAGTTTTCTAGGGCGTAGCTGTCCGGGCCAGTGATCTATGATTGACCCAACCTGTGGCTCACCTTTGTGTGTTAATTGGCGGGTCAAGGTATTTTGGGACTATTGGTCACATTTAAGAGTAGAGTTGATAATTGAATCGAATTTAAATAATTTTTTAAATTTATTTAGAAAAACAAATCTAAAAGGATTGACTTGAACAAAATTCAGTTCGTTTATATATAAAATAATCGAGCTACTTGGGCTCGACAAAATGAATCGAGCTTAAACAATTTTTTAGACTCGTTTAAAAAAATGAGGTCGACAGATTCAACTTGAGCTCATAAAACTTGACTTGATTATTAGCCCTACTTAATAGCCCCCAACCTCCACGCACACAAAAATGAACCCACCCTGTGGATGCTAAGGCTGTTTTTCCTTTGCCAGGTATCCTCCAATTAAATGTGAAACGTACTTGCTGCAACGATACAAGGAGACTCATGCTGATCTAAACTCTTATAAATAAAACCAAACTTAACTGGCAATGGCATGGGACTTTTACCTAAAATGCTTGCCATTGAATCTGTACTATGGAGTTTGCTTCCTATTCTACCTAGGTGTGTATATAAGTGTACCAACGCATTAAGTTTGAGCATCATGCTAGAATAAGGTCTTACATGCTTTGTGTGCCTATCGAATCTAAAGTCGCAATTAGGTTGGGTTAGTTTCCACGTTGCAATTAATTTGCAAGTCAGGGTTAGGGAATTATCACCAGACTCTTTGTATACTAAATCTGTAAGTTTATTAGGTGTTAAGGGAAATATTTACATTTTAACTTTTATTATTATTACTAGCCATTGTCAATAGTGCTCGATAACATTTGATGTGTTATTCTTTGTTCCACCTGTTTAACATCTTACGTTATTAACAGATATTCTAATCACGTTCTTTTTGAATTGATTAAAATGTAAATCTTAATCTTTGATATGTACAATCACCCATAACCAAACGCATCCATTAAACCCAAATTTTATATTATTAGGGTAGCTCAAATTCAAAATATGCAGATCTATATCATGCCAAAAAATTTTAGGGTAGGGCTATTTCTACATTTTAAATCTCTTTTTTTATCCCATTAATTATCTTACTTCAAACTACTAAGTTCACCCCATCTATACCAATCTCATTAATGACTAAATTCATCTCATTTATCTCATTCAATTAAACTACTAAATATATATTTCAAAGAAATCAAAACAAAAATAGTAATTAGAGTCAAATTTCAATGTTCAAATGTGATTTAGAATATTTTGAGGTATTTTGAGATTATTTGACATATTTTCACCGTCGTCTTCAGAATATTTTGAGGTGTTTAACAATATTTTGTTATATTTTGACTAATATTTTTAAAATAAATTATTATTTTTTCATTTTTATTCTGTTTCTATAATATTTATGTACTAAAATAGTACACCAATTTTTTTTTATTATTGCTGATACAATAGGTTGAAAGAATATTGGATGAATTTATTTTTTAATTAGTGAATATAGACAGAATGAGTTTAGTAGCTAATAGAGTGAGTACAGATGAAGTGAACTTCGTAGTTTGAAGTGTGAGAATTAAATAAGGTGGAAAAGGAAATTTAAGGGGTGAAAATAGCCCCACCCAAAATTTTGTTGGACCATTAAACCTATCCAGACAAGCTTCTGAGGATTTTTTTTTTTAATTAGACGTAGTTTTGATCAAACATGTTAAAACATTTTCAACCTGAAATTAACTTGCTTAAAGTCCACCTTTTGACATAAGGGAGCAATTCTTGTTTTTGCCACACCAACAGTCACATATAGAGAGTTCATTAGAGGATAGGATAATATCATGATGATTAATAAAAAAGACACCCATACCAAAATTACACACGTATAATTTTACATCCATTACTAAAATGCTGAAATCTTTGAATGTGTGTTTTCCCGAAAACACAAAAGGACAATTTTGAAATCAGACAATTCGAGTCCATTTGGACTTCAAATGTCCAAAATCATTAAGATCAAGATTTATTTTGAAATTACAACTCACAAAAGCCAGCCAAAGCTTAATAACATACAACGAAGGTGCACCATAACAACAACAGGCTTTTAACATGAAGTACAGAAATTATAAGCTGTAGTTAGTAGTGACACAATTCAACGGTATGTTTGGTAAGTAGGAGTGTACATACAACTTTCAGCATACTTCACCAGATTCTCAGGTCGAGGGAGATGTGTCGCCACACCTACAAAGTGTGGCAAACATAAATTCATGTCTTGGCAAGTAACTTGGAACAAAAATAGGGAAAAGAAAATGTACTCACCAAGTTCATATGCTTTAGTAGTTACCTTAGCAGCAATGACAGCAGAGATCTTTTTGATATTAGTGAATGGAGGGTAAATCATGCCCTTAGCTAAATGCTCATCCATTACTTGACCAACCAAAGCTTCCGCTATTTCAATGGAGACATCTGGAAAATTAATATCGAGAGAATTTTGTTGCTTGCTTTACTGCAATGACAACCTAACATTGTGTTGCCTTTAAAGCCACTCTAATCTGAAAGACATATCGTAATGCTTTCATTTTTCACCACACAAGAGTTTACATATCTAGAGAATAGGAAAAGATGGCAAGTATTCAGTTTTTGTCATTCAGTTGAATCGGAGCACCTAAATTTGTAGACAATATCAGCATGCAATAGTAAATTCAACTATGTTCTTCATTATATACTTACACACTACAAGAAGCATTTCATCATGGACATGAATCGCATCAGAGATGACCAAGCCAAAGCCAAACATAGGGAAAATATGCTATAATAACATAACCATAAATGTGAATATGGTGTTAAGCCAACACCAGTTTTGACATCTCAAGAGCTATAAGCTCTGCTATACCAGTCTCTGCCTGCAATTAGAAGATGACAATCGTGAGACAAATCAATAGTGATCTTATTTTGATGTTTGATAGTTAGATACCATATGTCACCAATTTAATGGCTTGGAAGGCGACAGAAAAAACCAGGAAAACTGAACATGTCCATCAAGAAATTGCAAGAGGTTTAGTTGAAGATGTGGTAAGGCCAACATCAAGGTGTATGCTTGGTCACATTGGTTTTTTTCCCCATCAATTCAATCTTCCCAGTAGTTTTTGATATATAACCAATTTGCCCCATAGACCAATGCTGAAAGAATGCCTCAAATAATTCTCAAACAGGGTTAGAGGAGTCGTGCGTAGGGCACACAACCTCAAATGGAATGGGTCCATGACTAAGATCCCCCGAATGCCCATCCATAAATTGTTACCCTAACGCCAACCGATCCATAAATTATAACACTAACCCTAAATTGTAACTCCAAGTGGTACTTTATTTTGTAATTTTGGTCATCTTCAAAAATATATTTTGATTGGCTTTGATTTGAATGTTTTTGTAATACAAATGTAGAACTATTTACTTTAAATATACTTTTTTGATTTGAATGTTTTTTTAATACTAATATGGAACTATTGACTTTTGTTATTCACAACCCTTGGTTGGTAGGTTGTTTTGCGTTGTGGTTCAAAGCAATACCCTATTCATGTGGCCTCAAGGGCGCTTTCGTTTCTTGGTCTTCAAGCTTGAAACTCTTATCGCAAGTATCAAAGCAATGATTGGCCGTGTGTATGGAAGTATAGTTATGCAAATACAAGAGTGAAAAAAATCCGAATAATAGTTCCCAAGCAAATGATGACCCAAAACAATGTACAGATAAAGTCTATCTTCATCACATCACGTATCAGAGAAAATATCGTACCTCATGCCCATACCAAATCAAGTAACCAACCCACGATCTAAGGAATATCGGTGTCAAATAGAAAATCCTCAAAGCAAACCAGATTTTGGAGCACAAATAAATAAAATATTTTGGAAAGTCACTAATATTTCCTCTATAAGTTTTTGGTGCCATCATTACTTTACTTATGTACTGTACCACACTGTAACCTAGTTATTTTTGCTTATCTGCCTAGGATGTTAAGATTTAGAAATAGAAGGAGGAGTAGAATCTCACTTTCCCAACACCAAGGAATCAGAATATGTGGTTAGCAAAAGTACCACCAAGTAACTTTAGTGCTACAACAAGCCCTACAAGATCCACAGCTGCTGTACCCTGAAAAATGGAAACAACAAATTAGACAAGAACATAGAATACCTTCCAGTGATAATATCAACCACGACGTAACACCTGTATATCATCATTGAAGACTAGATGAGTAGTGCGATATTTCACCAGCAGCTCAAAAGCATTGTAATTTGCAAAATCTTCAAACTGAGAGAGTTCAGAATTTTTTTTTACTAATGTTAGAAATACTTAAATAATTCTAAAATCCAGAAAGCTTAAATCTTGGATGAAGTCTAACACATTAGAGGGATATTTCACTTACCTGTACCAGAACGTTTTCACCATTGATTTGCTTAACAGCAGTCATGAATTCATGTAAAAAGTCATAATATTCCTGGGGTAGGAAAAACTGTCAATACTGCACCAACATTGAAGAGAATACATAATTCTTCAAACTTTGGTCAACTATTGGGTCGGTATCTAGCACTGACCTTCCCGGTTGTCCTCCTTAATTTGTTTAAGCCCTATGTAGAATTCATCCTTCAACAACTGCTCATTGTTTATCCCCACATCGATAGTTATAGGCAAACACTACAACAGGAGGTAAAATATTTCATTAGTACGGTGAACCAAAATGATAGCGCCAAACCAAACTCCACAAATTTTGATCAAGCTCATAAATAAACAATGTCAAATAGATTTATTTATTTAATACAGTGAAGAAAACCATACTAAGACAGATGAGTATCATGTGCACTAAAGAAAAACTTGAAGAAAGTAATTATCATAGCATCCAAATAGAATAGTCACAAAAATGACGGTTTCCTTTTGTTGTGGTGCTTACCGCTGAAGGTCTAACTTGTAACGCCGCAAAATCTACCTTGGATGACATTACTATTTAAAATCATTCACATCATGAGAGCAACTAATAAAGTTCATAAGTAAGGCAAATTTCATTCATCGCACATAATATCTACAACATTATCCAAAAGAATATGCCAAACCATGGCATCTACATCCAAAAAGAATATGTCAAACTATAACAATTACATCTCAAAATCAAACTTAATCTTGCAGCAGAAGAAAAAAAATAACATCTATCCACTGTATCAAAATGCATCTTCTAGTCTAGGACATGGAGAGATCAACTCTAGACATCCCCCTCAAAATCCACGCCTCCATCCAATTGCGCTTCCCAAGCTACCTGCTCATCAACTCCGAACTCTTCATCTAAACCAACATCTGAGAATAAATAGTATTTGTAGAGGGTGAGCACTAAGCTCTGTAGTAACATCCGCCCAAACTTGAACAAAGTTTAGAAAACATAAAATAATTCGGTCTCACTTTCCAAAATATCATATATAACTTGAAATAAATAGTGACAATTTATTCGATCTCAAGTTAACGTAATAGCAATAAGTTAAATGAAAGGAATAAACATGTGAATAAATCAATTAATCATTCAATAGCATCATCCCATATTATCATGTATGTTGGTTACTTCCCATGAATCTACATGACCATTCTACCTCGTTCACCCATCATAACCACACCAACCACTTTAGGAAGGGCGTATACCGTCTCTCACGGCATTGACGAATCCTTCCAAGGAAAAGTATACCATCGATCAGCCTCGAACTTACGTAAACAATAGTGGTTGCTCTCACAAATAACAATCCACTACAAGTGTTAGACAACCATCTCACCTCCACTGGGATAGACTAACCTTTAACGCTCTACGGCAATTCTCGAAGGTAAGTCAAGTCCATCACAAAAAACCATACAAGAGATGCAATAACAACTATTTTCTCAAATCACAAGTAAATTCAAAATTCCCAATTTCATAAGTATTTTTCTAAATCACAAGTAAATCTTAAACTCCCAATTTCATAAGTATTTTTCCAACATAACAATTCAAGAAAATAAGCAAGAGATCATCCCAAGATAGGCTTTTGTTGTTCCTAGAAAAGTACTAGAGTTTTTGAATCAAGAAGAAAATAATATCAAGAAAAATTCATTTTTCTCAAAACTAGATTTTGACATCAAGAACGTGAATTTCTATGGTTATCAAACCATAAATTCCTTCAAAATATGGTAAGGTTTGCAAGAACATCAAGAAACAAGGATTCCATAACAAATATATATGATTAAGAATCAAAACATATGTATATATAAGCCCTAGTATCAATGAACAATAGTGGAAGAAAACCCCTACCTTCTTCTTCCTTAGTGTTCTTGAAAAACTTGAGATTTTGATCTACTTCAAGGTGCAAATTCCTCTTGATCTTGTGTTTTCTACCCTTCTTTCTTATTTCTCAAGGCTTTCTAGGGTTGTAAATGGTTTATGGAGGCTAAAGGAGGCGCCCTTATGTATTTATAGGGAAAGAAATGGTCTCCTATGCGTGATTCTGAAACCCAGACTTCGTAACTCACTTCGAACGTTATTTTGGTGTTCGAACGTCATTGGCTTCCAGTACTTTTGTTTTTCCATCAAGGACAAAGTACTATAATGCATTGTTGTTCGAATGGACTTTCACGTTCGAACGTACTTCCTGTTCCTGCTGAAACTTCAAGTGAAGTTTTGGCCTATTTAATAATTAGTTGGACTAGGTTTTAAGATATTTATTCCTTATGAATACCGTAGTTTTGACATAGATGGCTTATCTTTGACCGAACCGAAGAAAGAATTAAACAAAGTATACGTAAACTGGCCCAAACACCCATGACCGTTGAAAGAAAAAGAGAGAGAGAGAAAGATTGGACCTCCCATTTTCTTCCCAAAATGATGACATCCATATTTTTTTTTGTTTGGCACTATTATAGCAGAGGAAGATAAGAATGAACAAACCCACGACCTTAAAGTCCAACTACAAGGTGGTGATAAATCTATTAACAAAATTATAAAATAATCAGCTCAAATAATTTTGAACTGGGTCTAATATTGTATGAACCACAAATCATTTGAATATTTTGTAAAAATTTATTGGCAAAAAAATAAATATTAAAAATGAACACAATATAGATTTGAGCTAATAATTATAAGGTTTTGAATGACATAATGTTAAAACGTAAATTAGAAATCCAAATCCATTTGGCATTGCATACTTATTCAACTAATACTAAATTTTGTAACACTTAGGATATCATGTTAAAAAGTGTAGAATTGAAGAAAGAGAAGAAGTAAAAGATAAGAGATAAGAGAGAGAGCAGAGTGTTTAGATCTTGAATGAACTGTATTCTTATCGAATGAATCAATTTACAGCAAGAAGCACTTATATATACTTGTATGAAAGCTTTAACAATATAACTCACTTTCCTAACAAACTAATCAACACTTACAACACAGCAATACAATGGTAATCTAACTGCCTAACTAAATTAGCCACTATCCAGCTCTGTCTCATAGCTCTGCTTTTGTGGAGATGAAGTGTATGCAACTCTTTGTGGACTGATACAGCTTTGCCTCAGAGTTCTGCAGTTGTGATGGTAAAGTATATGAAGCTATTGTAGGCTGCAATATCCCCCACAAGATGGAGAATAGAGAATGACTATTCCCATCTTGGACAAATGAGCACCAAGAATGTAAGAAGGACTAAGTGGCCATATGAGCAGTTTGAATGTTGCTTTCTTGAATCTTAACCCTAATCAAATGATAATCTAACTCTAAATGTTTATTATGTTCATGAAACATCAGATTAGCTGCAATATGTAAGGTTGTTTGATTGTCACATAAAATGGAAGTTGCTTCAGGATGAGGACTTAGAAAATCAAGGAGAATATAACACAACCAAGTTTAGAACTAGCTCCATGCCCTGCCTTAGCTGAAGATCAAGAGACCAGATATTTTTTCTTTGATTTCTAGGAAATGAGAGAACTACCCAGAAACACACAATAACCAATCACAGATCTTCGTGTATCAGGACAAGAAGCCCAATCAGAATCATAGTATGCTTGTAGCTGCAGTTGAGAAAACAAAGAAAACAAAATGCCTTGACCAGGAGTTGCTTTAAGATACTTCAAAATCTTGTGAGTTGTCGCTAAATGAACATCAGTAAGCTTGTCCATAAATTGACTCAATGTGTGAACTGAGTAACTAATGTCAGGTCCAGTAATTGTCAAATACAATAGTCTGCCAATAAGCCTTCGATAGATGCTAGGATCAAGAAGAAGTTGACCTTTTTCTTTGCTGAGTTTAAAATTTTAATCCATAGGAACTTTCAGAGGTTTAGAACCAAGGTTGCTGAAGCAGCTAAGATGTCCAAAGCATACTTTGACAGAGATGAATGCCTTGAGAAGACCTTGCAACCTCTATGCCAAGAAAATATTGTAAAGAAACAAGATCCTTAATTCTGAATGTTTTATTCAGAAAAGTCTTCAAAGTATGAATAGAATTTAGACAATTGCTAGACGCAACAATGTCATCAACATAAATTAACAAGACTAAAAATGAAGGCCCATCTTGCTTGGTGAAAAGACTGTAGTCTGATTTGGATTGTTGAAAATCATAAGCAATTAAGGAAGAATATAACTTAGAATACTACTGCCTAGAAGCTTACTTTTTTGGGGGGGAATAGGGCTTGAACCCTTGACCTCAAGAAGACAAAACCTTCACAAGATAAGGAGCACCATTAAGCCAAATGCCCACACACATTTCTTTTTTAGTTATCGACAAATCCTCGTAACTAACAATTATTTTTGTTAAAAATACAATAATTCAAGCTTTTAAGATAAAATAGTAATAAATGATCATGTATTACTACAACTACAAATATCATCAATGAAAGACGTTAATATCATACCAAAACTATCAAATTCACCTAAAAAGTTGAATGAAAGATGTTAATACTTTAGCTGTAATATGTACAAACCACCATCAATTTTAATGAATCTAAGAATAAGAAATGCAAATAGAGAGATAAAGATATAATAGGATTGAATTCACAGTGATATAGTAAACTAATTAATTGTTGTCTGAGATCAAAAGTTTAAAAATTGATACTAAATGTGCAAAATTCAGAAACTTAGTGCACAGACACTACATGTGCAAATGCAAATTTCAATAACGAATTTGTTTACTTTTTTAACACTTTCCAGACACTACTAAGTTTGTTTGCTTTGGAAACTTTGACAAATGCTCAAGATCATGAAATTAAAGCTACAATGGATATCATGATAACTTTATATTTCTGAACCAATAGGATCACTAAAACCCAAAAACATAGAACATCAATTCATGACCAAAAACTTAATTGGAAAAGATGAATAGATTTGCAATAGCACCTAGGTGGGTTTATCCTCCTAACAAGCTTTACATATTAATCATCCATTTCTAATTTTTTTTTCAAACCACCGGTGAGTGTTCTTTGAGACAACCCCACAATTCTATAACAATTAGCAATGAGGAGCTGCAAAATGAGAACAATAATAAATAAGGAACTCTTTATTCAAGTTATACAATCAAGCCCAAATAAAAATAAAAAAATTAAAGGCACCCCAAAATGGATATCTTGCTGCTTGCCTAATAACATTGATATGTGCAGAAAATAAAAGGAATATCATTAAGAACATAATTAAATCAATTAATCCAATCAAATGAATTAACCACATGAAACTACGAATCAAATTTTTTAAAAATAGAA